CCCCGCCCCAGCCCGGCCAAGCACGGCCCGGTGCCCGGCTTCCCCGGCATGGCCTACTCGGCCGCTGCCGGCCTGCCCGACTGCAGGAAGGGCGCGGAGCTGGGCCAGGGGAGCACGGCGGCCTTGACGTTGGCTGGGGCCACCAAGCCTGCAGGGTACGCGGACGGGGGCCTGGATTACCTGCTGTGGCCGCAGAAGCCGCCCCCCCCGCCACCCCAGCCGCTGCGGGCCTACAGTGGCGGCACGGTGGCCAGCAAGTCCCCCGAGGCGTGCGGGGGGCGGGTGTATGAGCGGGCCGGCGGGTCACCCCTCAACTGCGGCATGGGGCTGCCCACCGGCTTCACCGTGGGCCAGTACTTCGCCGCTCCCTGGAACAGCGTGCTGGTGACCCCCACCAGCGACTGCTACAACCCGGCGGCGGCGGCGGCAGTCACCGAGCTGGGGCCGGGGGCGGCCCGGGAGCTGGCGGGGCCCCCCGTGGAGGCCCTCTCGGGCTTGCCCAGCAAGAGCGTGTGCAACACGGCAGTGCTGAGCAGCAGCCTGCAGTCGCTGGAGTATCTCATCAATGACATCCGGCCGCCCTGCATCAAGGAGCAGATGCTGGGCAAGGGCTATGAGACAGTGGCCGTGCCCCGGCTGCTCGACCACCAGCACGCCCACATCCGCCTGCCCGTCTACAGATAAGGCCTGCGCGGCGGCCGCACGGACAGACGGACAGGGTGCCGGGCGGGGAGGCAGGCCGCGGAGCAGGGTGGGCGGTGCCCGGGGGCACCCGGCCTCGCCCCGCGCCCGGGTGCCCGTGGAGGCCCACAGGGAAGCCAGGCTGGCTGCTGCCGTGCGGCCACCTGATGGGGAATAGCAGGGCGACCTGGCTCCCCCAGGCCCCCCCCCCCACCATCGGCTGCCCTAGGACACGGGGAGGGCCCAGGGCAGCCGCGGACAGCCACCCCGTTCTCCCTCCAAGCTGGCAGAGGCAGGGAGAGAGAAACCACCTTAAAACAGGAATGGTTCTTTCTGGCTTTCCCAGGAGAGGAGCTCAGGCCAGGGTGGGATACAGGAGGAAATATGACGGTCTAGAGTCAGGGTGGGGTCAGAGCAGCCCCCCGGGGGTCAGACATCTCCTCCCCACCCCCCCATGAGCTCCCCGGTCTCCTGGAAAAGGAGCAGAGAAGGGGCATAGAAGGTCACAGGGCCTACAGTGTCCCCCACTGGCCAATCCAGGTGAAGACCACTCTAATAGAGGCTCCAAGGACTACCAGTCCCCCCTGCTCCTCCCTCCTCCTCTAGGTTCTCCTTCCCCTCCTCCCGTTCCTTCCCAACACAGAATTGTACCCCCATCCCCACTCTCTCCAAACCCTGTACTACCACCTTCCCCCTTCTCTCCACATCTTACAGGGCTGCTGGACACAGTTGTACAGGCTGTGCACTGCACAAGGGCACCTCGTCCAAGGAGACACCATTTGCATCTAGACTTGTATATTTATTATGGCAATTTTCCGAATCTTGAGGAAGGGGCGCCATTTTCCCTATTCGCACAAAGGCACCACCGGGGCTAACAGTGGGCCTGCCATCTTAGACACCAGTCAGAGGGACCCTACCCTCCCTTCAGGGGTTTCCCTAGGAGCCAGCGAGGAGGCGACCTACTGGGAGACCCAATCCAACTCCCTTCCTGCAAGCTGCCCTCCAAGGCCTGCCGCGCACCATCAGGGGTCCGGGGGGGAGGCAGGCAGGGATCCCCCCTTCCCCGTTATGTCCCCAAGGCCTGAATTCCCCGAGCCCTGGCCCCTCTGGCACTCCGGAAGCGGTACTGTATCTCTCCAAGGCCTGTTCAAGCACTAAGTGCATTTACAAATCTCTGAGAATGTTTTTTTTTTATACTAAAATTGACCATTATATTCTACTGTGAGAAGTGCAGTCTGCACTATATTGTTTTAAAAACGAAGAGAAAGAAAAAAGAAGGAAAACACAGATGGTGTCTCAGCTGTGGAATTTTGTAGCTCTTGTTTTGTTCTTCCTTCCCTCCCTCCCTTAGGAGTAAAATGGGCCGTCTCCTCCCCTGCTGACCGGGCGCGGAGCCCTGAGGAAGCAGGCCAGGAGCCTCCTGGCACCCACAGCGCTGGGCATTCTGTGGGTCATTTACTTCTCCAGCTCTTTAGGGGTGGACGCTGTCATGTACCCTGTTTGTGTCCGCTGGGTCACAGCCAGCGATGGGTCTGCAGAGTGGCTGAGGCAGAACCAAGCCCGGGCCCCGTGGCTCGTTCCCTGAATGGTGCGGAGGTGGTCTGGGGATGGTGTCCTCCCCGCATCACTACATTCCTTCCCAGCTTCTCCTCTGTGCCTGACCTACTCCAAGCTTCCGTGGGGGGCAGTGCGGCTGCGGGCAGGCCAAAGTGGCTGGGCAGCCCCCGCACACACCCACCCCAGGCCTGGATGCCGGGGAGGGGGCGGATCTGCAGAAGACCACCCAGGATGCTCAGCATTTAGCAGGCACTTCATTTGTGCTGGGCCTTTTCATATAGACCACATCTCCCTGGAGCCTCACCACATCCTTGCAAGGTAATAAGTGTTCCAGGAAGAAACTGAGGCTCAGAGATGTGAAGTGACCTGCCTAAGGTCACATGGCAAGTCTGAAAAATTGGGGTTTGAACCCCATGGCGTGGACCCTTTTTCACATCCTGTCTCTTCCTTATCCCCTGGCACGGGAGCCTGCCATCTGGCCTGGGGGGACCTGGAGAGCCCCTAGTTTGATGCAGTCCTCCCTGCCCATGCACAGAGCCCTACCTGAGTGCCAGGTGCCAGGCCCTTCTGAACTAGGTCAATGAACCAAGCATAGCACGCCTCACACCCTGGGGAGCAGCCCAGGGGTTGTGCCGGGTGATGAGCTGACCAAGTCAGCGCTGCACAAAAGGCCGCCGGGGGTGACCAGAAGTGGTATGTAAGCGGCAGCTGACAAAGCGCTTTTCTGACCTCCCAAAACAGCCTCACATCTGCACCATCAGATGTGTGACGAAATCATCCCCATTTTACAGATGAGAACACAGAACCTGAGAGCGGCCACAAGGACGGTAAGAAGGAGCCAGGTTCTGGCATCAGGACCCACACCCTGGCTCAGGCCGCCTCCAGACCCCCCAGATCTCTCCCGCAGCCTCCACCCTCACACGGAGCTGAAGCCCGCCTGCGGCCCCATAGCACCCCAGGAGGGCCCTGGAGGCAGGCAGCCCAGGAGGCCCAGCCTCCCACGTGAACTACAAGCAGGTGGGAATCCTGGCTTTGCTACCTGGAGTGACCCTGAGCCAGACAGGGAATTTGAGGACATAACAGCACAGGGCAGAAACTTGGGGGAGGGGCAGAGCAGCGGGGTCTAGAGCCAGGTTTAGGGCTGGGCGGTGGCCTGTGGCCCAGCTGTTCCCACCAACGTGGTCTCTGGGTAGCCCAGGTCCCCATGTCCCGGGCCCACTGCCAGGCCCACCCCCACTGGGGCATCGGGGGAGCGCAAGGAGGCAAGACTGGAGCAACCCTCTAGGCCAGGTCCCCCTCATTTGGAGATGCGGGCTGAGGACGGATCCGCCTCTGCTCTGGGAAAACCTCACCCTCTGTGGGCTGGGTCGGCGGGTCCACACGCAGGACGGCGGGAGCCCCTGGTACAGACAGTCCCGCCGGGGCTCTCGCCCTGTCCTAGCACCAGCTTTGGCCGGGCTCCTCCCCGGGAGCAGGGCTGGCTGATCTCAACAGGCCCTCCAGCGGGCAGCACCCCTCCCCTCCATGTATATAATCACCTTGGACTACCTGCCACGTTGGGGGGACAGCGCGGGTGACAACGACATCGCCATCAATGCTACAACGGTCCATGGTCACCGCAGGCAGACCGGTCCCCAGGCTCAGTGCTAAACGGTACCTAGTCCCCTCCTGACCACTCAACACGGCGCAGGTGAGGGCAGTGAGGCCCCCGGAAGGGCAATCATTTTGCCCAAAGTCAGCTGAGGGTGGAGAAGGGAGAAGCAGCTGGGACAGAAGCCGGGCCTGACTCAGAGCCTACCCTCGGCGCCACCGCACTTGGCAGAAAAGACAGGAACACCCCCCCCCGCCGGCCCCAAGCCCCAAATATGGCCAATTTGGCTCCAGCGCGGAGCTACAGTCCGGGGTCCCGTGCTCCCCGGGGGCAGGACTTCGTGCTGGGTGAAGGGGCCGAGGGGGAGAATCTGCCATCTGTCTGCCCCCCACCCCAGGCAGAGCCGCAAGCCTTTCTCTAGGTCTCCTGTGGGGACACGGCTCCTTCTCTCCCTTTAGCCGTCTTAGGCTCACACCGCTTAGAGCTGAGCTGTCCGACGTGGTCGCCACGTGTGGCTGCCCCATAACCTCCCCTAGGTGACACCTCCTGTCATTGACAACTGCTAGAAGATCATCACCCCATCTTAGACATCAGAGGGGCGGGAAAGCTTGGGCAAATATCTGAGCGGAGGGGCCGGTGCGGGGGACACTCACCTTTCGGGGGTAGCTCTGTGCTTTCCTGACTCTGCTTTCCTACCCGCCGGCCGTTAGAGCACCTCCCCACTCCTGGAGAGGGCAGGCAGGCAAGGTCAACCCCTGAACTTGCCCGGCAACAGCCAGCGACTTCAACTTCTCAGCTTGGAACCTACACTCTGGCTGCCAGCTGGGCGGGACTCCGCCCCCACGTGGGTCCCACGTGCACGCTGTCCCACGTCACACCGCGCCTGCGCCACCCGGGCTGCCTTCAAGGGCCCTCGTGGGCCCCACCTGCTCCCTGCGCGGGCCTGGAAGGTGGGGCCCAGCCAGACTGTTTTAACAAGCACATTACAACCACGTGGGGTTGAACATAGGAAACAGGTGGTCAAGTCCCCTAGGGAACAGAGCCTGCTTGGGAGAAGATGCCCCAAAAGTTAGGCGTGTTATTTCTGTCATCACCTGGTCCAGCTGCTTTTCACCTTGGAAAATGCGTTTCCAGGTTAAAAGAGTTAGAGAAACAGATGCATCCCCCTCCCCCCACCCTAGAGATGCACAAATTATATTAGCACATTAAAGGCTCTGAAAAGTCCTGCAGGCAAGGTACCCTTTTAGCTTTAACCCAGCGTTTCCCTAATATTTTTGATCACCTAAGTTTTTGTTTCTATCCATTAACATCCCAAGGAACAAATACTTCAGGAAATACCGAGTCTTACCTCTTGTGTTGCAATTAGGGAAACTGAGTAAGTTCCTTCTTCTCTCTGGTGACGTGTGGCCCTCAGTTTCCCCAGTTGGCGGAGCAAGGACTGGAATCCAACCCTGACCTGGAGTCATAGGGCCTCAGTTCTGGGGCCACCACATCCTAATTGGTCTTTGTTCACCGTGTTGTGCTAGGCCCGAAGGGGGGAAAAGACCCTAAAGGAGAGAGAAGGAAGCCCTCATTTGACAAGGGGGGGTGTACCCTGATTTTGAAAATGACAAAAATGAGGTTCAGAGAGGGAAGGCAACTTGCCTGAGGGCACACAGCAACTAGGTTCTAGACTCTCCAGAGGCAGATCTGGGCCACCTTCTCTCCTTGTTGAGAGGTGAGGGAATTCCTGAGTCTTAGAGCCTCAGGGTGCACCTAATGGGGAGCTCAGCTAGGGGCTCTTCCCGGCCAAGTTGCCTGGTTCCAGGTTCCCTCTCTCCTCTTCTGAGGAGGTCTCTGGGTGTGACTACAGCGGCCCCTGGTGGCCAATCCCCAGGATCAGCAGTCCCACCCTGCATAGGCCAA